ACACGTATCCCTGATGCACACCCCTACAGAAATGCCCTTGAAGAAATAGGAAGTGGGCATATACAATGTGTATGTTGAATATGTAATACATCTATTATTTATCACTTACAGTATGTGCATATATTAGAGCTGCCAGTAAACTTATACTAAAAACATAGGAGTTTGGGAAGAAATTGTTCAGTATTTGTAACAGAACTTCAGACGTTTGACCCCTGGTGTATAGTTTACTGTATTTTACAGTCTATTAACTATATTTAAATTAACAGATTTATTTAAATCTTTTTTTAAATAAATAACATTAAATTAAATGATTATAGGTCAAAGATGAAAAGGGATTTTCAAGCATCAAAAGAATAAAACGTTCATACTGCTTCATTTTTTCTTACACATATTAAAATATGTCCTATTTAAATTATTTATATATTTATTTTTTTCTGAGGTGACATTAAAATACCCTTTTATTTATTTCCCCACCCCTCATGAATGCTTATTAACTAACACAAGCAAATGTTCAATTATGTCATTGTCTTGAAAGTGGCAAAATCGATTTATGATTTTTTTTATTATCCATGATTTTTGTATTAGTTTATTGACCCATACTATGTGTAAATAATAACAGACATATTACCTATGCATCATACACATTTTATATGCTCAAATTATATTTTCTCAAAGGAATTCCTGTAGGGGTGTGCATCAGGGATACATGCTGGGCCCTGTCTGATTTTCTGAAGTTGTAAATAAAACAAAGATTTATGGACTACATTTTACAAGAATATACTATTTCAGTCTACTTTTTTCTACTTCAAACTTCCATATTTAATCCAATGTGTTACTTGCCATTACTGAATTTATAAAAATTGTTTCTTCACCAATTTGTTTTCATTCTCTCCAAAAAAATTGCATGACATCTAATCAGAAGTTATGACTAAAATAATATCTAAATTCATTGTCTATGCTTCTTGTGCCTAAACTGAGTTCAAGTCACCAAGTCATATTTACCATGTGGGGAAAATGGGGATTTTCGTTGAGCCTCAACTTTCCAAGCATTTAGGCTCATGCAATTACAGTACAGTTGCCATCATTCTCTGTGGCAGCATGATAATGAGAAAATACAAAGAAAAAGCACAAATTAAACACCTAATGTGTATCTTTTGTGCTTAATTTTGTTGCATTAGTGATAAAAAGCCCCTTGTTTTTGTCAGGAGGGGAAATGTGAGGGGAAAAAAAGTAAATTGCTTAGTGCATCCATTTTTTTTTTTATGTAAATCACTTCGCACATCACGCTGTAATTATAAAGAGGGTGTATTAAAAAGAATATATTTATTCCAGAATAAATTAAACAAAATGTTCTTTGTTGACCTGGATGACTGAGTATCTCCACAGACATATTTGTGTTCAGTGTATAACAAAGTAACACAAAGGGACCTGGGGTCTTTTATTTTTAGGGGATGGAGATGACGATGTGTGGGGTCCTGGTGAGGGAAGTGCTCAAGGCTCTGATTTCCATTACAACTGCCCCTGTGTGCAAATAGCAAGTTCTCCACCAAGACAGGGTTGATGTTTGCTTAGCGACAAAAAGCCAGACTGGTTATTTACTCTGCTCAGCACTGTACTTGGTCTGTTCATGACTGTGCATCGTTTATATATTCCATACTCAGATCAGACTCTCAGCCCCAGGTTCCTTGGAGGTGTTTTAATTTTTTTTATCATATAGTTTTAACATCAATAGCAGGCCTGGCTCAAACAGCTGAGACCAGATTTGTTGGATATTCTTGGATATCCAGGCTATAACATTTTGGTTTGTATTCAGTTAAAAGAATATTTCTCCCAAAAATAATTATAATACAAAAAAAAAAAAAAAGTCGGATTTTGAATGTTTTGAATTAAATCTCTTATGCTCACCAAGGCTATCTTTATTTGATCAATAATAATAATAATAATAATAATAATAAAACGATCAAATAGTGAAATGTTAGTACAATTTGAAATAACTGTTTTACATTTTAATACATTTAAAATATGTAATTTATTCCTGTGATGGTAAAGCTACATTTTCAGCATCATTACTCCAGTCTTCAGTGTCACACGATCCTTCAGAAATCATTGTAAATATGCTTATTTGGTGTTCATGGAACATTAAATCTTATTATTAATGTTGAAAACAGTTGTGTTGCTTCATATCTTTGAGAAAACCATGATACTTTTTTTTTATTCTTTATAGAAATAGAAAGATTAAAGGAACAGCATTTATTTTAAAATTTAAATCTTTTTGTAACATTAAATATATAACATCAAATGCCATCGGCTCATGTTCTGTAACCAAATTTTGTGACACGCCATGTCTAAATAAGCAAAATTTCTGCAGTTAGTATGAGGACTCAATTTCAAACTGTTTGACATTTCTTTCAAACAATAATTGAGACTGTGCCTTCTAAGAAATATAGTGTAGTTTCATCATGAGGGTGTTCTAGTAGATGGAATAGGTACGGATTCTATAAAAAATATTATGATAGTAGAAAACTGAAGACAAATTCTCCTGCGGCAAGATTCAGTACTACTTCAAACACTACTTTGATTGGCAGTAAGTATAAGTGCATATGGAGAACAAAACCCACTAACAGAGAATGAAAATGTATTACTTGGATACTACTTGTATCCTTCAGATACAAACTATAAATCCAGAATAGCAAATCTGTCTTGCAAGAGTAAAGCAAACATTGTTTTGCTTTGAGCATAATTCAATTCATAAAACTTTTATTTGAGAGAATTTTAAATACAAAATGATACCAAAAGCAAAGGAAATCTAAAGTCAAGGGTGAGGAAGATCAATAAATAGGCTCTGGTTGTCTTTACAAACCTTGCCAGTAAATGTGGACTCAACCTTCACCTCTGAGTCTTAAGAGCAGAAAGTGCCAAGGAATTACTTGCTCAAAGCCATTCTTCCTTGTGTGAATGCCCTCTGTTCTGTCCTAAAAGGAACATTGGAACATATTGATCTGATAGAACTGCACAAAAACCCACAGTGGCCTTCTGCAGTTCTTCATGGAGCTGCTATTAGAGTTTCCAGAGTGATTTACACTAGAGTGTGGACACAGGTGTGTTTGGCTGTTTGAAATAATATAATTGTAGTGATATATATGGAACATATAAAGTACAGTTTTTTTTATCAATGGAAAAATATGTTTTTGATTCCACATGGTGTAGTTACGTTATCTATGAGTCCATGCTAACCACAAAAATAGACATTCCCTATGGAAACCCATTTAATTAAAAAAGGGCAAAAAAAAGGACAGCAATGGGAATTTTGGGAACCTGTTTCCACCCCACTATATACATTTTGTCTAACAATTTGGCCTTAGTTTCTTCTGAGAAGAAAAATCAGAATGGCAAAATATAAATGAAAAATTTTCTTTGAATTCTGAGTTTATATCTTGCAGTTTCTTTCCTTTTTTTTTGCCACAGAATTAAAAAAATAAAAAGGAAATTGTGATCTTAATCTGACTCCGAATTCTGAGTTTACATCCCACAATTCTGTTGTTGTTGTTGTTGTTTTTGTTTTTTGTTTTTTGAGAGAGAGAGAGAGAGACAGAGAGAGCGAGAGAGAGAATGTCACAATACCCTTAAAAACATTCTGTACATTCATTTATATTTATAATACTAAGTATATTGTGTGTTAAAGTCTAACCACCCACTGTCAAATACTTGCTCTGAAGGAGATTATGGCTTACAGAGGAAACCCCAAAAAGGTTTTGATCATGCTGAGTCACCATTAAGAATGCATTCTTGATTGTAATGTGAGGGCCTCTAGTGGTTAGGGACTGAACAGGTTAATAGAGTTCAGCCTGACACAGATGCAAACACTTATGAAGTATCAGTGTCACAATACCACATTATATACCATAACCATTGCATATAGAGAGGTCATTACTCAATTAAATGCTATAATTTTAATAGCATAGTCAATATGAATACAGTAAAGTACTGTAGGCCTCTGTTCAAAGTGTCACTAGAGCATGGTAAGGCTGTAAGGGGAAAATGTGTTACTTTATTTTATATTAGAACTAGTATTAGAACCTATTTGGGTATTAATATTAGAACCTATTTGGATGTGACTGTATGAATTTTTCAGTTATTAATGTACAGGTTTTGTTTTAACTTCTGTGGCATAATTAATTATAATACATAAATGTAATAATAAATTTAACCTGAAAAATGGTTATATTCAGATTTTCACCTGAAAATAGCTGTGCGTAGACTTTTGTACATATCATCATATTTATTCAACACATACATTTTCTAATTGAGGAAGGACAAATTACAGATTTGTTTAAATTAATTAATTAATTAATTAATTAACTTATTTATTTATTTATTTATTCAAAGGATGGAAATCATGAAATTAATCAGAAAATTAAGCAGGAAAAAATCATGCTTGATAGATAGATAGATAGATAGATAGACAGACAGACAGACAGACAGATAGACAGATAGATAGATAGATAGATAGATCATTTATTTATAGGCGTTCTCTCCATCAATGTATATATTTGTAGTTTGTACACTATTACCTATCAATATTGTTATAAGACAAAACTCTCAATATAAAACTGCTTTGGAGCAATATTTACAGTGCAATACAAATAAAATTAAATACTATTAAGATACAATTTTAATCATTTGTTTTGACTGTAGCTATAATAATTATATAGGCATATTATTTACTAAATGTCACATTTGATTTAGGCCTATTGTCTTTACAAAATCACGCTATTTTACAGATTAAACTATATTTTATGAAGGGAGTCCCTCTCAGGAGAATTATCCTTGGCAGGAAAGTGTTTAAAAGCGCTGACATAGCTGCAGTGAAAGCAGGTTTATATGCAAAGCAGTCGCGGGTGGGCGTGGCCTCGTCTGCTAAAGCGCCTCTTTTGACCATTCATAATTCAGGTAGGCGGTGTTCAGCACAAGGAGGGGCGTGTCTTGACTCTCAAGCCGAAGTTGCGAATCCATCGAGGTAATGAAATGGTTACAAGTCGTTCAATCCGGATAATCAGACACAATTACTTTTCAACAAACAAAAACAGCGCAAAAGCAAACCAGTCCAGCTGTGTTTATTGTAACAGAATGTGCTGTGGAACGAAGACGTGAGTGTGCGCGCTGGAGACGCAGACGCTGGACTGTCAATGCCCGGATTCTCTATTGATCATGCTAATGTATGGAGATATAACTTCTTAAAATAAGCAGAAATGTGGTCGGCTCGTTTTCCTCTCTTCTTCTGCCTCGTCTTCATACCTGTGGTGGTTCAGAGGAGCAGCGGGCAGTCAGGTGAGTGATAGTGCCGGTGCGTAAAGGGTCTTGGCAAGCTGCGCACTTGTCCGGTGTGCGCTGTTGTTATCGACTACTTTGCTGCACTTGAACGACCGGAGATTGAAAGATTGTGAAGTGTATGCTTTAGGCACAGTGTACCCCCCCCCCGTCTTTATGACGGCCAGAGGAGGAATTCATTGGAATCACACACATACTTGAGGACTCAACGCAGCATGTACCATCTCTGTTTGTTTATACATTTCGTCCAGTGCTTATTTTGTAATATTAGCCAATCAGTAGTCAGGATATGGCACGCCAGGCAATCTGGTTTCATCGATAATTATAATTTCCTGAAATGGATAGGCTCATATAAGTATAGCAGCAGAGTATATTTAATAGTGGGGATGATAGTGATGATTTAAAAAAAAAATACTCATAATACACATGCTTATAACTCTTGACCAATAGTTGACACTGTCTCGAAATTCGTAAGGTATTTTCAGGACATTGTGCCAATGTCACGCAGAAAGTTTCGAGTCAATACACCAAAGCATTGCTGAGATACAGCCGTAGTCTGGCATGCTTGCTGTCAAACTTGTTGACATGTTACATGAGAACTTGGGAATGTAAAAGAAACCATTTGATATCTCAGTCCAGCATGGTCTGAAGATGATCTGACCTTAATTTGGTGAACATCCAATGAACTCTGAGAAGGAGTTAGAAAAAAAAAAAGGTTTTAAATGCATTTCAAAATGGCTGATACCCAATATGGCCGACCTTAGGTCACGGCTTTAGGCCAAACAATTGAAAAGTTCTAAGCAAAACCAGTAGTTGGTGCAGTCCACAAACTGATCACATATACCACTGATATCTGACAAGTTTTGTTTCAATAGGCAAAAACATTGCAAAGATTTCCCACTTCCTGTTTGGCAACCTCGCTGCAAAAATTGTTGTTGTGTTATATGTGAACGGTTTGGTTAATCAGATTGATTTTATTCAGTTTTGACAACAATAGTCTGATGGTGATCTGAACCAAATTTGACGAAGAAGCACTGTAGGTGGATTTTGATAACATGCTTTTTATGAAATTGAAAATGGTGGAAATTACATGGCTTAGCATGTTCCAAAGAATCAGGGGCAAAAAAAAATAAAAAATAAAACCTTTTAGACCAGTTTTGAATGTTTAAAATAAGAAACGTAAGTGCAACTTTGACCTGTTGGTGGCGCTTGAGAGAATGAGATGGAAACACCAGAATGGTTATTGGGAATGTTGAGACTCTTACCAGTCACTGTGATAAATTTCACAACTTTATATCATGTGGTTCTATGTGCTGTCATAGAATCTATTTTAATGTGTCGATGCGCGTAAAGGCGCTTAGTGGAACGCAGCGCGGGAGCGCGCTCAGCGGAACGCGCATTTCCTGCGCGCTTGGCATCGCGCTGCGGACCCCTACGCTGTGTTCAAATAGCTGCTCAGCATATTTCTGCATCCCTACTGTGAGAAGCGAACTCAGCGGTGGCGGTGCATGAATTAAGTTTTGTTGTGCAGTGTATGAACAAGGAGAAATGTGGAAGGTGTTTATCATGACACAAATATAAGTGAGCGTTATGACGCAAAACGGTGTTAAGCCTGTATCCAGGGAGGCAGACTTGTACTGTTGATTTATGTGTTTTAGTTCTTATAATGAATATAACTGTTCACTGAATGGGCAAATGTCATCAAAACATGTTCACTGTTTACCTCAAAAGAGAATTGTGATATTTGTGGAAGATATATTTAAAATCCCCCATGCAGAAAACTCTTCACAAATTATTGCAGGGTCATCAGGTTTCATATTTTTGCTGTTCATTTTATTATTTTTTTTTTTCATACATTTTCCTTTATATCTAATTTCTGCTTCAGCTCACTCAGTCTGCAGATAAATGACACAACATCTGACCCAGGCTGAGATGTGACATTTAAGTTCTAAAGGATATTGACTCGGGAATGCAGTCAAATTATTACTCAGCGTCAACTTGGATTAAGCCCCATTTGAGAGCCCCAATGAGTCTCCCAGTAATTAAGCTTGTCACTGATATGGTGTCTAGACATTAATATTTTTATGAGCAGGAAATGTTGTTTGCAATTTTAGCCAAGCTTAATCCTCTTATTAGGAATTGTTTGTCATGGAGTCATAACTTTAAAATACACTTGTTGTCTATGTCTTACAGTAGAAGGACATTTATTGCAGTTATGCGGACATTTAATGATTACAATTTTTAAAAAAATAATATTTTGTAATAACATTAATAATTATTATATTCAAAATTTTCAGAACTGCAAATCATGATATTTCAAACTATCACGAAACCTGTCAAAATACACACACACAAACAAAAAAACTAATTGATTTTAATTGGCCAATTATATTTACTGGCTTGCAACTTTATTTTGTTATTTACTTTTGATTTTAGGATTTAATTGTGACCTGGACTCACAATCGTGAGAATCGCCCGCAGAGTTGAAAATATTAATTGTCATGTATTTTAATTTTACATTATTTTAAATATCTTTTTTTTTCTTCTTCAGAAGAGTTACCAAACAGCTTTTTTTCTTCCTCAAACGTCTGAATCATGGACGTGTCAGTTCTTTGGTGTGGACTAAGCCAATAAAGCTAATTATAATCTATGGGATTGCTCTTTTTTTCAGGGAACTTCAGAGTAGCCAAAATAATTCTCCTTTTCACTAGCTTAAGGGTTTGTTTTTTCCACCACTTGACATTCTTCTCTGAAAAGAAACGCCTGCTGGTCTCTTTCTGTGGTTGTGGCATGGCTTCTGTCCGTTTGCCTCTAAGACATCGTCCACCTCCTTCATCCTCAATGTCTCCTCACTGTCTCTCAGTCTTTCTCCATCCTCTCAGAACTGTTTGGCTCGGTGCCTCTTCGTCAGCTGTGATCCGTTACTTCCCATACTAATGTGATCATTTATACAGGCATGCAACATCTGAAACTGAAGCAACAAACTGCATCTAAAGACAGCTCAAGTTTTAGCCTGGATTTCTGTAGGTTATTTCTGATGTAGCACAACCTCCTTGTCTTTTATGTTTGCTGTTGCTCTGGCCTTTTATTATTATTCTTCCTCCACATTTTGAACAGCTATAACAATAACTGAAAACACATACTAGACTTTGCGTGCATGAAGGATCTGTGGCTAATTATATTTTGTGTAATTATGGGATAGATGGGATGTGTGGTTGCCTAGCAACTAGCAGTTAATTTTGCAATATTCAGAATGTTCTTTTTGAGTTTGAAACCTGGAATTTCATAATAAGTCCCTCCCTTCTTAGAGAAGAAAATTTGCCTGAAGGACTTGACTTCTGCTATGATTTTTTTTTTTTGGTATGTCTTAAGCCTTGAGTTTTCGTTGATCTAGAAATTCAAATGTAAGACAAATGCAACTCCATAGACTCTAATGTTAAATGTTGGTTATGCTTGCAATAGGTGAAAATTGTACAATTAGATTATTTTGACACAATTTAAAATTATTCATAATTTTACTGGTGGTTTCTTAAAGATGGTTTTAATTGAAGTTGTCATGCAACTTTTCTGTGTTGGCGTCTACTTAATTTGACTAGCTTCTGCAAAATGACTGATGAATTTGTGACAAAATAATGTATATTTTTATTCTGTGTACTAATTTTACTAATGACCTTACTTGTCAGCATGCAACGATACAGAAAGCATTTCTTCCTCCCTTTTTAATGTTGATGAGCCTTTTTATCAAAAACTATGCATGGTTATATGGTTATTTGCATTTTGTTATTTGTATTCAGCATTGTTTTTTTTGTTTTTTTTTCTCTGCTGTTGCCATTTTTGGGTTGCGACTCACCAGTTGAGAAATGCTGGTTTAACAGAAAAGAGCAGATAATCTTTTTTTTCTTTTTTTTTTTGCAGTTTATTGTGAATTAGCGTGCTGCCCCTTAAACTCTTCCTTGTGCGCCAGTGACCTGTAATAAATGAGCATGTGCTCAGAAATGGCAGCTGTGGTAGTGGATGGGAGAGAAAGATAAAGAGGGACTGAAAAAGAGAGAGAGCAAATGGGAGAGAGTGATAAGCGATTGTACTCCAACATCTCTGTGTCTTCTTGTGTCCATCAAGCCTCATGGCCTCTCTTCTGTTGCTCTGTTTAGGTGAGATAGAGGGCAGATGTCACGTCGCAATCCTACAGAAATATCACTGCAGTTTCTCTCAGTTTAAAGGTTCATAAAACTCCTACTGTGAAGGTGGGGTGATAGTGTGTCACCTTGGATTACTGGTTTAAAAAGACCTTGTGAGAATCTATAATAGTTGCTTTATGTTCACAGTGGAGAGCTCATCACTTATTTCCCTCAATGCAGTGAACGTTTTGGATGAAAGGGGACCAGTTAAACTGTACCATGAAATGAGAGGTTTAACCTTATAATGCAGACTTGAATTAAAGTAGATGCTATATTTACTTAGACAAAAGCTATTATTTATTTGTTTGTTTGTTTGTTTGTTTGTTTATTTATAAATTTTTGTTTGTTTGTTTGCTTTGTTTGTTTGTTTGCTTTGTTTGTTTAGAACAAGACAGGAATGCAGATTAAGAAAAATCTTGTTGCAGAGCACAGCACTTTTACTGGCTCACTTGCCACTAGCCTCTTTAATGCTGGAGTCTACCATTTGGTTTTACTACCTATATATAGCTGGCCACTGGTAAAGTCTTAGGGTTGGGCAGTGAGTTATTGGACACCCCCTTACTATCTGAATTCATTTCTTATTGTATCTCTCTGGGATATTCAGCACTTGGAATATTGGGAATTACATGTAGCTGCTGGGAATGGGCTGTACATTGCATGAATGTAATTTAACACACATGAACAAATTAATGTTTCACAGAACTATAATAACCTGATTAAGGGCACTGTCTGAACCAAGGCTGGATGATATGATTGTACAGTTCTGGTATACAGTTTATACCAAAGTATATGTGACCTTTAAATTCAAGTCAAGTCAAGTCA